GGACACACCGCCGTGCCTCTGCAGCAGTTCCGCCGCTCCTCCTCTACTCCCGAAGCGTTCAACTCCCTGTTGAAGAAAAAATCATCGACCAATTCGCCCAATAGGTATCTCGTCGGAAGAAGAAGGGATTTTAGTTTGTCTTGCCGATATAGCAGTAATCTAGAGGACGGTAAGAGTTACGGAGATTGCGGCGGCGGCGACAATATCAGTTCTTATTCCTCGTCCTCCGCTTGTTCGTCGCCGTCGCCGTCCGAGGGTTGGGATTGGAACAGGTGGACCCGCCATTTTTCTGAGATTGAGCAGGCTGAGAACAATGCCTCTGTTCTCAAGGTTCGATTGTGTATTACTTTTTAGTTGTTTGGGATTTTTTTCTTCTTTAATTTTTGGTATATGATTGCAGATGGGTCTCAAAGTTTCTGTCTTGTGCATGTTATCTGTGCTTAAAGCTGAAGTTATTTACAATATCTTTTTAGGGTTGTGATGTTTTTTCTTAATCATTGTTAAATTCGTTATCTGTCGAGGTCTTGAATGTTATGGTTTTGTGTATCATCTGTTGGAGATAGAGTTTGTGCAGTGGTTATTTGGAAGATAAAGGTTCAAAAGAGGCTGTGGATGATTGATTTGGTCCCTCAGATGCATCCTATTGATATTTCTTATCAAATTTGAATCTTTGCCTTAAATAATGTATAGAGTAATGTATACAAGCCTAGACATGGTGCTAAGAATGGTTTTTATGTTTTTCAGTTTCAATTGGAAGATGCAATAGAGAAGGAAGACTTTCGGGAAGCTGCTAAGTTGAAGACGGCCATTGCAGAGACTACAGCCAAAGACAGTGTTGCTGAAATTATGTCAGAGTTGAAGGTAAATTAATTGATCGTATAAGTTTTTATAAATGGAAATATTCTAAATATTGATACGTTCTTTTGGCTGTAGAGTGCAATTGGTGAAGAGCGTTATCACGATGCGTCGAGATTATGCCAAAATACAGGAAGCGGATTGGTAACTCTGTTAATACTACTTGCAGATCTTCCCAGTTTAGATTATTTCAAAATTTATTTTATAGTTTGATAAAGGAGCATTTTTATTGTACTGTCTGTTCTCCTTCAAGACCAATTTAAGATTCGGCTGTGGTTAATGTTCATTCTTTCCTCTGTTAATCAACAGACATGTGAATTTCATTCTGTTCTATGTCATCATTTTTGGTCTTTATTGTTCACTTAATGCGTGAATGCAGGTTGGTTGGTGGGTTGGCTATTCGAAGGATTTGGGTGATCCTTTTGGGAGATTAGTCCAGATCACACCAGGAACAGGCAGATTTATTGGAAAATCTTATAGTCCAAGGTAATAACTGTGAGATTCAAAAGATTAAAACTTTTTCATACAAGCTTAAAGTATGTAGTAATGGATTGTTGCAGGCAGTTGATCACAGCATCTCCTGGAACTCCACTGTTTGAAATATTTGTTGTTAAGGACAATGAAGGATATAAAATGCAGGTGATGATTATACTTTATGTAATTTTTTGCATAATCTCATATTATTCAGGCCTTCAATTAATATCTATTATTTAGATAGTGGGAAATATTCTCCCACTTTTTAGTGGATTTGTATTAAACTTCATATTATTTCAAAATTAGTAATGTTGCTTTTCAGTGTATGTTAGACGAATCTAAATTGGAGTTGCCTCATAACATTTTTTATTCTATTAATTTCCAAAGGTTGCATTTCTAGAAACGGTCAAAGGAAATCCAGCAAATTCAAGTTCGTCATCTGATAAATCTACCACCAAAGGGCCCTCAGTAGTTAAAGCCAAGAATACATCCGTAATCGATATCAATCTCGAAGGGAAGGAAGTGGAAAGTGGAGAAGTTAAAGCCGAGAATACATCCATAATCGATTTTGAGCTCGGAGAGAAGGAAGTAGAAAGAGGAGAAGTTAACATAGATTCGGAAGAAGCTGCCAAGGAAGGAATAAAGCACGTCATAAATTTTATAAAGGAAAAAATCCCAGAACTTAACTTCAAAGCGGTGAGAGTTGAAATTACTGCCGAGGCTATAAGTAAGGATAATGAAGAGCAGTTTATTGAAGAAGATCATGAGAACATAACCAGTGATGACATTAACAAGGAAGATAATGACATAGATAACTCCGATCTAGACATAATAGAAAATGCAAGTGATTCAGACGTAAATCTCTTCATTGGAGGTGTGTTGCATAATAAAGAAGAAATTCTCGCCAATGATGAGTATATTCGTGTCCCAGCTGATATTGAGAATGTGGAGAGGGATTCCTTTGTGTTGCATATTCCTAGGGGATATAAGGATAATGATACTGAAGAAGATGTTGCGTCTAAAGTTGAGGTGGCTGCAATAGCTGCACGAGGTGTATCGGAACTTATGCCTCCTGAGGTTGCAAAGGCTTTCTGGAACATGGATAAAGTTTCTCCTAAGGTATTTAATTTAAAGGAATTTGAATTGCTCTTTTCGGTGAAAGAATGATACTATACATATGTGAGTCGAGCTTTGCGCTTCGGCGTTTCGTAAAATATTTTTATTTCTTTAAGCAATGCTCGATACTTTACGATCAAAATATGACAAGTTTTATTTATGTGTTGGGATCATTATTTCTTGATTAAAAATAATGTATTTACATCTCACCATGGTACAGCCTCCCTCAGGTTACTCCTTTTTTTTTTCAGATATTTGTTATTCTTCCTAAGTAATGTTAAGCCCTTAATTATCTATCTACATCTATGAAGATTTTGTTTTTCCTCTTATTTTTTCTGTAGATTTCTAGGGACGTGCGTGAAATACTGAAGCTTGCCGTCATTGAGGCCCAGAAACGAAGCAGACTGTCCGAGTATACTAATTTTAGTCGAATCACCACTTCCAATGGCGATTTAGATCCTTTCAATGGTGAGTTCACACCTCTACTGCCCTCCCTCTGCCCTCAGTACCTTGCACATGAATTTGGAAAAAAACGAGTCTTTTTATTATTTTTTTTTCCTCCAATTTTGGTGCCGCTTTGTAAATGCAGGCTTGTATGTTGGTGCTTTTGGCCCATATGGTCCTGAGATTGTACAATTAAGGCGCAAATATGGGAACTGGAATACACATAACGATGATTCGTCTTCTGATGTTGAGTTCTTTGAGTATGTTGAGGCAGTCAAGCTGACCGGGGATATGAATGTTCCTGCCGGCGAGGTATATGAACTTACGCTTTATTAATTATTTGAGCTAATTAGAAANTAGAAAAAAAAAAAAAAGAAGAAGGCAAAATTGCATTTTTAGTCTTTTAACGTCATAGCGATTTTAGTCCCAATTTTCTAACATTTCGCCTTTTAATCCTAAGATTTAATATTTTGCTGCAATTTCAGTCCTTTAAATTGCAACAAATTCCCAATTCACATATTTTCAATTAGCTATTTAAGTCTTATAATTTAAAATGTTGTTGCAATTTCAGTCATGCAATTTAATTTTTATTGCAATTTCAGTCCTCAATTGCAGCAAAATATTAAATCACTAGACCAAAAGGCGAAAAGTTGGAACCTTGGGACTAAAATTGTTATGACGTTAAACCAACGACAGACTAAAAATGTTTTTTTTTTGCAAAAAAATAACTAAAATAAAAACAGTTATTTCCAGACATACAAAACAACTCAAATGTATTATATTACGAGTAATCTTGCTAAATATAGTTTCACCCGGTTATCTGTGCAGGTAACATTTCGAGCTAAAGTAGGCAAAGGAAATCGCCTCACTAACAAGGCGAAGTTGTACCCTCGTGAACTAGGAGTCGTATGTCTCTATATCTCTCTAATGAGGCTAGAAATGTGACTTTCTGGACAGTAACTAGATTTATACAATAATGTCTACTAAATTTTGTTATTTTTTATCATTTTAAGGTTGCAAGTTACAATGGTCAAGGAAGAATCGCGGAATTTGGGTTTCAAAACCCCAAATGGGTCGAAGGCGAGCTTCTTCAACTCGATGGCAGGGTAATAATGCTTGCCAATCTTAGTTTCGTTTTCTTTTAAAGAAATAGTTTTAACTTATGTAATCGTTCGTTAACAATTCTTGACGGTGAATTGCAGAGTTTGGGAGTCCCATATATCAATGGCGTGAATTTGGGTTTTCTTTATGCTGTCCCGGAGCAAGCTTTTCTCGTGCTTTTCCATCGTCTGAAACTCCCGGAGTGAGTGCTGTCTAAAAAATTGCATCTCCCTCTCTTTATTTTTTTCGGCAGGACAGTAAAGATTATTAGTGGGTTTTTTTTTTTTTTTTTTTTTTTTNCATGTTTGTTTACAGTGAGAGGTATTTTGCACTGTGATATTATGAGTGAAAATATTTCCCCACTTAAAAAGTTGTGTAGTTTTATGTCTCACTTATATTACATACATTCTGTCTTGACACATTCTGTCTTGACGAAGGTATTCAAGAAATAACGTGCATGTGCCTATATTTATTTTGTTAAAATCTATTGTTCTGGAGGAACTGATTTATTGGGACAAATAAGTTAATTGTTGTGCTTATCGAAACCCAAGTCTGATCATGAATAGATGTCTAGCTTGCTTTAACTAATTTAATAGAACAATTACTTTTAAATGTTAAGATATTTATTTGCAGGGAACCGATTATTCAATTTAGAAATATACAGACAATACAATTACAATCACGTACAATGGTTTGCGATGGTGGAAAGTAGCGGCCCCCCGCTTTGATTTCCGACATTTGGCAAAGATTTAATGCGAAATTATTTGGATTGCATTATGACGACCATTGGAAAATTTCTAGGTTTCTAGAGGACTTAGATGTGTCATCTGAGTCAAGCTAAGCCGAGGATACAAAGTTCGAACTTATGTCTGTTTAGAAAAAGGTATAATTTGGGTCGAAAGATTTGTTTAATGTTTGATATTCACTATGACATTTTCAAGTATTACTTAATGCATGTCTCTACAACAAAAAAGGCTAAACGATATATCCAAAATCTAATCTAAACCCAAAGTTCTAATATAGCCGCTCTCGAACAAGTTTAGGTTGAGTCGCTTAATAAATTTGATAAGTTATTCGAGTTTGTGACCCGATCAAAATAAAACTTTCACAAGTTGAATAAAATTGATAAGTTATTCGAGTTTGTGGCCCGATCAAAATAAAGCTTTCACAAGTTGAATTGAGTTGTATTTGCGAAAGCTTTCACAAGTTGAATTGAGTTGTATTTGCGAATAGCTCGGGTTGAACACATTTGGTGAGGCTTGATATTTCACGTCAAAGCCTGAACAAGGATCACTCTTTTTAGCCTATGAATACACACAAGAAAAAAAAAAGAAAAAAAAAATGAGGGCATTTTTGTAATTGTAGCTAGTTTCAGTGCTGAAGAGTGAAGATTTTAGATATCAACCAAACTAATAAAAATCAATCAAAACTCAAATTTAACTAAACAACACTATACTTAATATTATAAATATAATTAATAATATTAATCAATCATCATTAGACATCACATCAGCTTTAATTCACTATTCATCTACTCACATAATTTTGACTATCTATCACTTCCAATCAATTTTCTTCTACTTTTTCATCAAATCAACTTTAATTATTTTATTTTAAATATTATTTTAATACAAACTCAAAATTCTACTCAAATCTAATCCAACTATTTTTTTTGAAAAATTAACTATGGTTAACAAAAAAACAATCAAAACCAAATCAAGTCATAATATAAGGTATTTTGAATTTGTTTGGATTTGTTGGTTTTGTATGGTTAATTTTGAAAAAATTGATATGGTTAGTTGTTAATGAGATTTTGAGTTTATGTTAAAATAACATTTAAAATAGAATAATTAAGATTGATTGGATGTAAAAGTTGGAGAGAAATGATTTGGAGTGATGGTGAGTTAAAATTATGTGACTGGATGATTAATAAATTAAAGTTAATATAATGTGTGTGTAAGAATAATTGAATTATATTATTTAATTATATTGATAATATCGAGAATAGTAAAATTTAGTTGAAATAAGTGATTAATTTAAAATAATGATTTTTTTAAGAAAAAATTATATCCAAACATCCCCTAAATGTTCGAATTCCACTGTACGTCTTCCACTCTCACCTGTCACTAACATCTACTGTCACTGCATCAAACCCCACGCCAAACTTCTCTGCAAAACCCTCTTTTCCCTTTGAAAATCATCAGTTTTTTCAAGCAAATATCAACGGTTCTCCCAAAACAATGCCTCCTAATCGAAACCCACGCCGGAAAAACACTAGCCCGCCGACCGCCGCCGCCGATCCCATGGCGGACTGCGTCCTCCCTCTAGACGTCATCCCCTGCATCCTCACGCGCCTACCCGTGAAATCAGTCCTCCGCTTCAAATCCGTCTGCAAACCCTGGTGCAAGCTCGTCGCCTCCTCAAAATTCGTCAAAGCCCACCACGACCAGCAGTCCAAAGACCCCCAAAATCAGGCCGCCGTTATCTACAGCCTCTCCGGCTTCCACGACCACACCATGTCCCTTTACAGAATCAACTCCGGCGAGAAAAAGCCCGTTAGCCTAGACAACCCTTATCCGGAGATCTTCTTCAGGAAGGATTTTCTCAGCGCTTCCTATGGCTTTATGTGTAATGGCCGTCCGCCTCTCGGACAGGGGACTGTTCTCTGGAACCCGATCTTCTTCAGGGTGGATTTTGTCGGCGCTTGCTATGGCTTGCTGTGTACGGGCTGCCCGCCTCTAGGACAGGGGATTGTTCTCTGGAACCCTGCGATGAAGCTGTTCAAATTCGTTGGTCCCTTGAAGGTGGAATTAGAGGTCCCTGAGATGGTTTCCCTAGGGTTTGGTTTTGATTCCATAAGTGATGATTTTAAGGTTGTGAGAATTGTGTGCCTGGCTGAGAAAAAGAAGGGTAAGAGTAAGGGTGTTGGGGTTGAGGTTTACTCTGCAAATTCGGATTCTTGGAAGAAAATCGAGGTGGGTTTTCGGTTTAAGGTGCTTTCGACCAAGAATAATGCCATTGTGAATGGAAATCCGTACTGGGTCTCGAAAATCGACGAGGAAAGGGGTGCAGGGAGTAGTCTTGGTGAGGCTTTAGTGTGCTTTGATGTGACAAAAATGGTTTTCACGATTTTGCCCCTTTCAGGATTTAGCCTCCATGGAGGAGCTGAGGTGCTATTGGTGGATTGGAAGGGCTCTCTTGGTGCAATTGTGTGTGATAAAAACTTCGAAAGGGTTGAGTCTCTTGATGTTTGGGTGTTTGATGATTGTGAGAAGATTTGGACCAAGAATCACACTTTTGGGCCGTTCGAGCTGAAAGTCGATGGGATTTTGCAGTGTTCTAACAATGGGATGATTCTTGGGGAGTGCCCTGATGGCAAGCTGTTTGTGTTAGATCCTATGAGTGGAAGTGTTGAGGAGATTGTTATCGACGAGGCCCAAAAGCGTTCTTTTGTGATCAATGGATATACCGAGAGTTTGGCGTGTGTTGAAGAATGGAAAAGGTAGTGGTGAAGAAAAAAGGCGAGGAAGAGGATTTGGAGAAGGGGCCGGATATCAACTTTGAGAGTTTCATGAAGATCTTATCTGCAATTAAATAATGGTAATTAGCTGCATTCTGCAGTTTAGACTTCCGTTTAACATCTTCCTTTTTTGTGTGAAAACTTGGGATGAAGAAGGGGTTTACTAGTTACTACTAATGTTGGATGGAGTTATGAGTATTTTGTGGTAGTTTTATTATGCTGGGATTAGTTTTCTTATTATGATATCCAAAGTTTGTTGTTTAATGTTTTAGTACTTGTTACGAATGGCTATGCTTTTGTTAACCGAGTATCATGAAGAAACTGTTTTCTATTTTGTGTTTGATTGGGTATTTGATATTTGTTGATGAGTGTTTTTTTGCATGGATGGTTGATAAATGATATTATGGTCTTATTATTATTATTATTATTATTATTATTATTATTATTATTAGTATTACTACTAATAATAATATTACTATTACTATTACTACTACTACTATTATTAGTACTACTACTACTACTACTACTACCTATTACTATTACTATTACTATTATTAGAATAATATTATTACTATTACTCTTACTATTACTATTACTATTGTTATTTTATTATTATTATTATTTATCTTAGCTTTGTGGATAAGTTAATTAAGATTCTTATATAAAAAATTCTCTCTAGTTTATTTTTTTGATTTTGAATTGAGATAATATTGGTTTGGTTTTATTGTTTTTGAGATTGGGATCTCATTTTTATCCTTAGCATTCCTTCCTTATATCAAGTTCTAAAAAAAAGATAAATAAAATGAAAAATATAAGAAAAAGTAAACCCTAGTCTCTCAAAACCCTAACTCACCGTAGTCAACTTCTCTCTACAACCACGTTTTAAATACCGTCTCGACCGGTCGGATATCAGCCATTGGTACAGTACAATTGCACACAAAATACCAGATTTATGGTTATACTAGTTTGTACCGGGATCATACTGTCAATACCAGTCCAAAATATCGGTCAATAATAAAAAAATAAAAAATAAAAAATTATTAATTTAAAAATATAAAATTTAGATTGGTAGTAAAAATGTTTTATTTTTATTTCATTGAGAAGTTGAAATTAATGATTAATGTCATTTATTTTTTTACTTTTTTGCATTTGATATTATATATTTTTATGTATATTTATATATATCATTATATTTATTAGTCCAGTAACACCACCGATATTACCGATCCGATCAATAATACTGCGTATCGATGGTTAGACCGATATAACCACGTATTTAAAACAATGAGACAAACACATTTCCTGCTCAACTTATTGAGTTGGCAAAAAGGCAACTCGTTTTTGCCACGTAATTATCAATAAGTTGGCAACTCAACTTATTGATTGGGGAATGTTCCACGTCGGCTAGACAAATGTTCCACCTCAGCACATTTTGATCGGCTCCCGTTGATCATGATCGAGATTGAACAAAATTAATTAAAATTTAAGAGTTAATGGATTGATTTTGGATCCCAGTAAATTATTGAGCAAATATAAGAAACAACATAAATTATTGGATCAAAATTGCAAATTTCTCCACAGCCGACAATGTTTTCCTCGACGATATCATGACCTAGGTGCTCCACCCTCACTAATATTATTAAAAGTTGAAAATATTTTTCGAGCTTTTATTTATTGAAGTTTTATGAACTCATCAAGTCTTGAGTAGAGTTGTTAAATTAACGAGTCGTTGGTGAGTTCGACTCAGCTCGACTCATTTGATAAATAAATCGAGCTAAACTTATTCAGAGCTCGACTTGATAATGTTCAAAAAGATAATTTTTATGTATTTTTTATAGTTTGACTCGATTTTGGCTCGTTAAAGCTCGAACTCAGCTCGTTAATATTGATAAATGAACTGAGATTAAGCTACAATATAAGCTTGTAAAGGCACGGGCTTGAGCTCAAACTCAAGCAATATGAGCTCAAACTCGGCTCGGGCCATTTACATCCGTAGTCTTGAATCAAGAAAATGTACAAATTTTCATATAATGATTCTGACTATATATAGCCATAAACGTTTTCTAGCTTCATCCATCGTAATCTTCATGTACATGTACATTATGTTATCATATCAAACACAAATTAGCAGTTTTTTTGTGATCAAATTGGCATCATAAAAGTTCTCCATATCATTTCAACAATGTAGAAACATAATGTTTGGATATAAAAAATTTTGGTTTTGTTTGAAATTTTTGGTTTGGTTTAGTTAATTTTAAAAAATGTGGTATGATTAGTTGTTAGTGGATATATTAGAATAATATATAAAATAAAATAATTTAAATTGATTTGATGTAAAAGTATGAGAGAGAAGATTTAATGGGAGAGTGGATGAATAGTGAATTAAAGTTGACTAGTGCGTGGCCCGTACGATACACGGGGAAACAATATTACGATGGTATTATAAATTAAATATATAAATAACATTAATCATGATTTATCCATTATTTTTAAATTAAACCGAGTTGGACACAGTCCGACCGGATGGATCGAGAACCGATTTATAACCAGTTTAGTTTGCTTGAATAAAATATTTGCTCTCGAATCCGTCAACACCAATCGGTTGGATTGGTAGGATCGATACGATTTTTTAAATAAATTTTGTTATATTTAAAATTATTTTAAATAAAATTACATTTTTAAATCAAATAGAGATTTATAAATTATTTATCAATAAGTTTAAACATTTGAATTATAAATTATTTAGATATTAAGTAACAAATTTTATTTAAATTTATTACAAAAAATACTATATAATATATATATATATAATATATATATATATATATTTAAAATGTTTATAAATTAAAATCTGAACAAACCACAAATGAGTTAATAAAATAACTTGATCGTTTCGATGACGGTCTAGTTCTGAAAACCTTATATTTACTGTATAATAATAAATATTATAATAAATAGATATAAGAAGGATCGCTGTAATTGAGAGTTCAAGAATATTTAATTTACACAAATATTAATAAAATGATATATAAATATTCATAAATCACTAACACATGCTGTCATAAAAGTATTGCTAATACGATTATTTGAATTTTGGACTACATCACATTCACGTAATAAAATATTTTCAATGTAAAATTTATATTTAGGTTCAATAATCAATTAGGTGTGGTCGAATTGATACATAACTTAGTCACATGCGACCAATCAAGATGTGTCAAGTTTTTTTTGACTATTTTAAATATCACCTAAAAGTAATTCAATCACCCGATTGATCCAAAAAAATTTCTTATTTTCTTTAAATATATTTAATTTTATGAAATAAAAATATTTTATAATTCATATAATAAATGCCTACACCAAATGATAGTATATTAATATTATAAATTATATATCTAAAGATGAATTAATTATTTTTACTTTATGCATATTAATAAGAAATAACATAGTAATTTTTAAAAAATTAAGATTAATTTATTGATTATGCAATTTAAATAATATTATTAGCGTTCAATATTTTTTTAAACGAACAAATATAAAGACCGAGATTCTAAAACTTTTGTTATATTTTGAATTGAGATTTTATAAATATAGAGACCAAGATTTAATATTGTTCGTTGTTTCTAAGAAAAAAATAAAAATAAAAACATACACACTTAATAAATCTTAGCCGAATTTTTTAAATAATAAAATAAACTAAAATCAGATATTTAAGGTAGCATTTAATGTTATATGATTTTTAAAGAAAAAAAAAATAAAACTTACTATTTGCTGCATTAAATTTTAACCTATTTTTTTGCTATTATTTTTGGGAAATGATGTGGTGTGTAAAAATTATTGATTGATATTACTTTAGAGGTTGACACGTGCTCCTCTGAAAAGTTACTAAATTGCCCTCACTTTTAGAGACGGATAGAGCATTGTACACTCCTTTTTCGACTGTATTCAATTTGAGAGGGGAAAAAGTTTCGATCCACTGATAGAAGAGCGTAGAGAAAGAGGAAACCGAAAGCCATAGAAATTCATTTTCAACGTCGAGAAGTGTTTGAGCATTTGAAAAATGCTACAAGTACATAATAAATGTACATAACACTCAGGAGTGGGTTTACGTGATTTTTAATTTTAGTGGGTCCCACTTAAATGTGTACCTGTGGAATTTATCTTGAACATTTGAAGATAAACGATGAAGCCAACGACGGCGGCGGCTTCAACAATGACTTATATTCGATCTATTATGCGGATGAAACCCCCTCTGTGAAGCCTTCCACCGTTAAAGACGCGAGGAATTGAAGCAGGTCGCCCAGAATTTCGTCCAAGAATTCGACATAAACACGGTGCGCTGCTTGGGTTAATCGATTGACATGTGTTAGACTCGGGAATTAGGGTTCTTTCAGGCTGATTTTACGTCATCTTTTTTTTAAAAAAAAAAAAAATTAACATAAGATTTTGTTATCGGTGAGTGCAGTTTGTCCAGTTCCATTGGTTTTGGCCACCTAATTATCAGTGAGTACGTGGAAGATGTTAATAGATGTAAATGACTTGAGAAGGATCATTTGAGAAAATGAAATCTCGGTAAAACCGTAAAAAAAAATCCTTTCCGTCACAATTTTCACTCCACTAGCAATGGCGGCATTCTATCGTCTCTCTCGAATCAGCCGTCGCCTCCACAATATCGCCCGTCGTGACTCTTTTATCTCCATCGTGAACTCATCCTATTCCAACTGTCCATCGCCCTCCAATAATCCTAACATAAGTTCTCTCCATGCTCTTCGCCACTTGTACCATCTTGCCGGATTATCTGGAGACTTTCACCCCAAAAGTCAATGCCACAGTTTTGGCAGCTCAATCAGGCCAATTGGCGCCTACCACGAGCTTCTTCAGAGCTCCGGCTTTTGCTCTGCAGCTTCTGAGAAAAAAGGAGAAGAAAAATCGAAGAATTTAAAGCGTACTGAAGGTGATGGTTCGTGGATCGATGTTTATTTGCCCGAGAAGGCACGTCCTTACGCTCGTCTTGCCCGCCTTAACAATCAGATCGGTACTTGGCTCCTGGCCTGGCCCTGTATGTGGTATGTTTATTGATTTTTCCTATTTTTCAGCTTCTGATTTTTGTGTAGCGTTGTCATGTTTGTGGAGATGTTATATGATTGGTCAATTATTAAGGAACCTGAGAGCTAGAAGATGAGAAATAAATGAGAGCCCATGTCCATTATATCTCCTCTTCAAATGGTATCAAGTTTAGGATAAATTTTTGCTGTATTGAGTGTTAAAATATGTAGTAGCGTGATTTGTGCCTAACGTCTTATAGACTGCTTTACCTAGTCTCTTACTCCACCAAATTTAGGGCATCATAAAGTTGGGTGAGACACTAATGATGACGATGTGTATGATATTCAGACATTTATTGTTTTTGTCATTTAGGTCAATTACAATGGCCGCAGCTCCAGGGAGCCTTCCAGATGTTAAGATGATGATGCTCTTCGGCACAGGGGCATTGCTTTTGCGAGGTGCAGGGTGCACTGTTAATGATCTACTTGATCGAGATATTGATACCAAGGTAATTATATTCCTGCTTCTGAATGCTACGTAGAGCACTATCAATGATCTACTCTTGATGCCTTGGGTTGGGAAATATGAAGTATTTAGTCATTATAAGTTGTTTCTTGTTTTGCCTTTTGTTTTGCTTGGGGGGGTACATGTTGTAAGGAGGCAGATTCTAAGTTTTTCCATACTGTCATTTTAGTTTAACATTGTTCCTCGTGATAATATAAGTGTTTTCTAGTTATAAGTTGCTTCTAGTTTTGCCTTTCGTCTTGGTTGTTGGTACATGTAGTAAGGAGGCTGATTCTAAGCTGTTCCATAATTTCATTTAGATTAACATCGTTCCTTTCGATGATCTTTTTATTTGTTTTTGATAGCTTAATGTGGTGTAGGTAGAAAGGACAAGGCTGAGGCCCATTGCCAGTGGTGTCCTATCACCATTTCAAGGAACTTGTTTTCTTGGTTTTCAGTTGATTTTGGGGCTGGGGATTCTTCTGCAGCTTAACAATTTTAGGTTTGTAACCATTCTTTACTCTTAACTATTCTAATCTTGCTTTGCAAAAGTTAGTTGGTGCATATTTGCGTTCTTGCTTTACATATATTTGTTTTTTTTATATGATTTACTGAAATGATTTCTGAGATGTTCAATTCGTATTATTGTTTCTATATGTTGGAAGTATTTAATGAGCATTGAGAAGATATATATCATCTCATTTTTCATTCAAATATAAAATTTGTAACATTATAAAATGCTGGTACTAGGACCCTTTCTGTGCAAAATTCAAAATTCTCAGGAGTGTTTTCATTTTGCTACAATAAACAATGTCCTTTCCTGAAAGCATAAAACAAACATTACTAATTATTACAACTTCGGGCATTGATTGATCAAGTTAAAGATTTAAAAAAGAACAGTAAGTATTTAAGTGTTGCCAATTACTGGTTAAGAGATCTGTCTTTTGCATGTCTCATTTTCTCCATCTTTCTTAGATAACGCCCATCTATATGCACAATGAGATTCTTCCACCACTACTACTGAGGAGAAAGTGGTCCAGAAGTTGATTTAATGAGTTAGATGTACCTACCTGTCATATAAATCATAAGTTACTGAGAGAACTATAATAGGGCTCTAGAGGCAAGAATGATGGGAAACTCATTGAGGAAAATCAGTTAATTCTAACATAAATAATGGGACCATGACATGTTCAGGCTACTTGAGTATTTTGTGCTGCCATTTATTTAAGAAAAAGGTGGAAAGGGCATCACTTGCATCTATTGAATGAAAGTGAAATTCAACTTGTCTCTCACACCAGTAAAGCGACATCTACAGAAAAGAAAGCTATTGATAACCTATGTATGCTCTTTTCTATGTTGAATTTAGCTCGTTGAATATTTTGCAGCCGTGTGTTGGGAGCTTCATCGTTGCTGCTTGTTTTTTCGTACCCCCTCATGAAGAGACTAACATTTTGGGTAATATGTTCTGATCTCATCTCTTATTTATCCTCTTTTTATCCTTGTACTTACTTCTTTCTTTCCTCCTCCAAGTCTATCTTGAGAAGAAATCATAAATGCATGGCACGAGCACACAACTACACACACACACACACACAGCTGATGGATCTATTCATCTCAACAGAAAATGTGACTATAATTACCTAATATATCTAAAACTCCATTTCTGTTAATGCAGCCTCAGGCCTACCTTGGTTTGACATTTAACTGGGGAGCTTTACTTGGCTGGGCTGCTGTTAAAGGAAGCCTTGATCCCACTGTTGTTCTTCCTCTTTATGCTTCTGGTGTATTTTGGACCCTTATATATGATACAATATATGCTCATCAGGTATAGACTTATCTCTTTGTATTTCTATCTCATGAATCATGATAATATTCCACAAGTTAACACTTTAGTTAAGCATAATTTTTTGTATTAGGCGTTCATAGGTATTTGTTGAGCTGGCCTCTGTATTAGCTAGTTAATTGCATGAAACATTGTAGAAGTTGAAATTTTGAAAAGATTAAAATACCACCATACGTTCAGGACAAGGAAGATGATGTGAAGGTTGGTGTTAAATCGACAGCCTTAAGATTTGGGGATTCAACCAAAGAATGGGTTGCTGGCTTTGGAGTAGCATGCATCGGTAGCCTTGCCCTTAGCGGATATAATGCCAATCTTGGTACATCTTGTTATATACATACACACACACACAGACACACACACACACACATATATATATATATATATATATATATATATATGCTTGTCAAAGCAGCCATATATCTCTTCAGATTTGCTGCTTTAATCATTTTGGTATTGTTGTTATGGATGGAACAGAATGGCCATATTACGTATTTTTATCAGCTGCGGCTGCCCAATTAACTTGGCAGATATCGACTGTCGATCTTTCAAGTCGTGCCGATTGCAACAAAAAGTGGGTACCCTATACTTGAATACATTATCAGTTTTGATTATTCATTTAATATAGGTGTTTTAATTTGGTGTTCATGTTTGTGCATGTCAGATATTCATTTGATATAGGTGTTTAATTTGGTTTGTGTGTTTTTGTCTAGTAAGCCTAGGAATGAGTACAATTACTATTTATCTTATTGAGTTCTTTCAAGTTGCAATTCTGGAACTAGTTATCAACTAACACTATTATGATATTATCTAATTATTGGAATTACTTGGGCCATCTTCTATTTTTTCTCCTTATTACCAGATTCATATCAAACAAGTGGTTTGGCGCTATTGTCTGCAGTGGGATCCTGTTCGGAAAACTCCTATCTTGATGGTATAGACTTATTTTTTTCGAAAAAACTTGTAATACTTACCAGATGCATTACATTTTGCTTTAACTACTGACAAGAATTGTAATTTTTGAAGGTGAAGTTTTAACAGATGTTCTGGTAAAACTTTGGATACAAAAATCAATAAATACATGCTTCTATTTGGGCTTATTTAGAATCAACCAATTGCCTATTTATCAACCACTTGCCTATTTATCTTCAGCAGATGTTAAGAAAGCTCGACCAAATGATGAACAAGAAAGGCGCCCAGGAGAGGTATTTAGAGACTAAGAAAATTATTGTACCTCACATGATTTTTTGCCAACATATTTTTGCTGTCGACCGAACTTACATATAGTTTACGATTCTTTTCTTCTTCTTTTTTATTTTTTTTGCATTTTTTTATTTGTGTGTGGATTTTTAAAAATGATGCTTGTGCCTGCCCTACTGCCTAGCTGTGATTGTATCAAGCAGGTAGCCAATGAGTTAGGTCCCACATAGTTTTGCTTAAGGATTAAATAATTATTTGGGAGGTTTTTTTATTTAATCATTGACTTAATTGCAGAAAGAGCTGATCTTCAGGAGAGCCAATAGGAATCCAGATTTTTGGATGTTATGAAAAAATAATCCCTCACAAATCTAGTCCACAAGAGGTTCACTTAAAGAGAATAGAATACTTGGATTAGAAATCTGCCTGTGATTTTGGTAGATCACAATCTCTTTTATATTGAACCTTTTATTGTGCTATTCGATGTACTTTCTTTTCTTTCTTTTCTGTTTTCCACAAACGATTAATAATTAAAAAACCAAGGGGAAAAATAATTAAAAAAAGCAGTACTACACTTCCCCTTTGATTTACCTAGCTATCAAGGGGAAAAGTCCAAACTAGAAACTAAGTACACAAATCCATAAAGGAGACAACACTCTTAAAATCAAACTAAAACTCAATCCCAACTGTGACTAACCCAAAAAAAAAAAAGTAACATTAAAACAAACATCTACAATAAAAACTAGAATTATTTTTATCCCTATTTCTAGCAAACTGGTTGCCCCTGCCACTCAACCCAATTCACAAGTCGGTTACAAAATCCAGACAAAAATAAAGTCAGCTAATCCAATGCCCTCAGACTTGTAAACTCCTGTCTAAACTCGAATGGCTATGTACATCCTATAAGTGGACGAAGCTGAAGCCCAGATATAGGGGTGTAAGCAAGCCAAGCTTGACTCGTCACTTTAACTTAATAAGCTCATAATTGAGCTCGAACTTGACTCGTTTGTCAATATTAACGAGTCGGAATGAAGGTTTAACAAGTTGAATTGTAAAAAATTACATAAAAATTATCTTTTTGAGTGGCTAGGCTCGTCAACCAAACGAGTTTTATATGAGTTCGAGCTTGACTCGTTTATCAAACGAGCCAAGCCAAGCTCCAGCCTTAACGAGTTGAGCTCACGAGTGGCCCGCTTAATTTGACAATTTCTAATTTGCTTTTTCATATACTTTTTTTTCAAACGACAAATATGATTAAATTAAACTAAAAAATAGTACAGCCGATAACACTAACCCAACTGCTATATACTTACAAGAGATTAGTAGTATTGTGGAAAAATATGTCCCTCAACTTGTATTAAACATTGATTAGGAGAAGAAAAAGGTCCCAGTGCTCTTCATATATTTCATTGTATGTAATAATTAGTGCCGTGCACGAATCTCGTTGAAATATGGGTTAATCAAGGCTTAAAGATAAAGTAAATAGTATGAGATGAATGCATTTTCATTAGTAAAATAAGAGATGATTGTAAAATGGGGGATGACTTGAGTCTAATTATTTTCTTCTCTTTTCCCCTAAAAAGTGTTAATTAATGAGTATCTTTTTAAGGGTTAAGATTGTACAGTGAGGGAAAAGGATAAGAAATAAAAAATAAAATTTTCTGAATTTGTAATTAATTTTGCTGTGACAAGCTTGAGATATATAGGTGAGTGCCTAAAATTGTGGGGACACTGGACAATGTATATTTACTCTTACCACTCTCCAAACATACAAACAAACACACATAAAGGCAACACATGTGACTGTCTATCATCAGCCATGTTGCAAATGTGAGCTATCTGACAAAACAACTCAATTGAAATAAAAACCAGATTTGCTATACACCCAACTACCTTTTTTTGTGGCCTCACATTTCAGTTAAAATAGTTGGTATTAATTTGCTTTGCATAATGTGGGAAAAGACAAACGGCCTTTGTGTGACACCTAATTTTTGAGATACATACATAATAAATGTGGCATCCTTGGGAAGTTGAGAACATAATATACATATATGTGTATAATTTATTTGCCCCTTAAATAATAAATACTCCATTTTTCTTAATTTTCAAAATTGGATTCATAACTCTTCTTTATATGGTGGTTTGCATCATACGCATACTTGTAAATTTTAAGTTAGTATGATTGCTTGAAAATTTGGTAATAGTTTGAATGGTAAAAAGATTTAATTTAACCCTGTTTTGGTTAATTTCACGGTTGTATTTCTCTAGTTGTTTTATTATTATTTATTTATTTACGGTTCATATGCATTCCAAGAGAATTGACAGGAAAAAAGAAAATGTCATCAGAATTTTTGGGTTTTAGCCCAGGTCTAGGCTTGTAGGGGTTGGTAATTGGGTATTAGCTCCAGTAATTTATAATTGTATGGTATAATAGTTAATTAAAATTAAATAAATGTGGATTTTATGTTTTGGTTCTAAAGGCATCTACATCGCTGCGTTAAAGACCATCGTTTACTGATTGAATGAACGCCTTGTGCGAAGTGGGCGTTCATTTGTGTAGTGGGGACCAATTGTTTGTTCAATAGGCTGAACGCTTGTTCAGCCTCTTTTTCTATTTTTTTTTTGGTTTGAAAATGTTATTTTATTAAAAGCAAGCACCATACTTATTTTTTATTTTACTTTTTGTTTTACAATGTTATTTTATTAAAAGCATGCACCATTTTTTATCTCAATTTTTTGTCTATAAATACACTTCAGTTTCTCACTTCTCTTGTACCAAAAATTTCTCACTTCTCATACACCAGAAAATTTAGCTACTATTCATTTTCCTAAAAAAATGGATCCGAATAACAGGAAAAGTTTTCAAAATTTCTCAAGTTCTAATCCTAGCAATCCAGATGAAAATCCATTCTTCCAAAATTCACAAACTCCGCCGAATTTACCATTTTCACAAACTCCTTGTCCTGCACAATTTTTCCCACAATTCTCGTCAAATTTTCCTTTTATGCAACAACAATCCCAAAATTATCCAAATTCCACCAATATTCAATATTCACAATATCCTCCACAATTTCTATTTCAAAACCCGCCGCCTGAATATTGGCAATACATGAGTAGTCAAAATCTGGTGCAATCTTCTCCGCAACAATCGAGTCAATCTTCCGGATCCCAAATGAGGAAAGAACCTGATACTCAAACTTATGTTCCAGAAACACAATTCCAGGATCGTGAAGAAACTATTAATGTTGAAATCCCAAAAAAAACACGTGTTGCTGCTGAAGGCCGGAAAAAACGTCCACAATGGACAAAGGAAGAAGATGTGCAATTGGCAAAAGCTTATGTGACAATAAGTGACGATCCAATTACCGGTAATGATCAGAAGGCCGAAGCGTGTTGGGTACGTGTTGCAAATTATTATAACGAAAATACACCTACTGACTATATTCCCAGAAATGCTAATATAATAAGATCTCACTGGCATAATACGATTCAAAAAAAGGTGTATCGATTCAATGAGTGCTATAACAGTATTTACAATGTTTATCGAAGTGGTTGTAGTGATGAGGATATATTAAGTCGGGCTTACGAAAAATATCGTATTGAGAATGATGGTGTAGCCTTCAATCTTGAGCATGTATGGAGAATCCTTAAAGATCGTCCTATGTACACCCCACAGTGTTCTAATGATATTTTTGTTGAGAGAAAAAAGACGAGAATTGATGAGTCTGGTGCCAGCAATACTTCATCAAAGGGGGATGCAAGCATAGACTTAGATGAACTTCATGAAGTGGCTCGCCCCATCGGGCAGAAGGCAGCCAAACGAAAGGCCAAGGGGAAAGGCAAATCTAACCTTGATGAGATGGCCGCAGAATACAACAACATGGTTAAGCATCTTGCTGAGTTAACTAGCTTGAAAAAAGCTGAAGTTGAAGTTAAAAAAGCTACTCTTCGAATTGTGAATACACTTCAGACACGATCATCATATTTCCAGCAAAACATTGATGCAATAGGAAGACAAAGTTTGTCACCACTTCAAAAATGCACAGCAGCTATTCGTCAGTTGGCTTATGGAGTCCCAGCTGACCACCTTGATGAGTATTTACGTATGGGTGAGTCAACAGCTATCAAATGTCTTTTTAAATTTTGTGAAAGTGTGGTTCAAATTTTTTGTGATGTATATTTGAGAAGACCGAACAGTAGCGATGTTCAAAGACTCCTCCAAATGCATGAAGAAAAGCATGGTTTTACGGGTATGCTTGGAAGCCTTGATTGTATGCACTGGGAATGGAAAAATTGTCCAATTGCTTGGAAAGGCCAATTCACAAGAGGGCATGGGTCTCCTACGATTGTCCTTGAAGCGGTTGCTTCACACGATTTGTGGATATGACATGCTTTTTTTGGTGTTGCAGGATCACGTAACGATATCAATGTATTATATGAATCTCCCTTATTTAATAATGTATTGCAAGGAAATGCACCGAACGTTCATTTTACTGTCAATGGCACGCAATATGCAAATGGGTATTATCTTACAGATGGAATATACACAGAATGGGCTACGTTCGTAAAGTCTTTTCCTTGCCCGTCAGATCCTAAAAGGAAGTTATTTAAAGAAAAGCAAGAAGCTGCTCGAAAGGATGTGGAAAGAGCATTCGGGGTGCTTCAGTCTCGATGGGCAATTGTAAGAGGTCCTGCTCGGTTTTGGTATAGAAAAAAACTGAAATTTATTATGTTGGCATGCATTATTCTCCACAATATGATTGTTGAAGATGAAGGAGATGTAGTAACACATTGGCACAATGACGAGGATGAAGAGCCCGCACAACCTGTCCAGGGTTCAAATCGAGAATTTCAAAATTATATTTGTAGAAATTCAAAGATACGAACACAATGCATCATCAACTTCGTGCCGATTTAGTTGAGCACATTTGGACTCATTTTGTCAACAACTAAAAAAAATATATTTTTTTTGTAATTGTACTATTTTTTTATTCTGTAATCTTAATTTATGTTATATTGGTCTTGTGGTGCTTTTTTTTATTTTCATGCATTTAAAATATATTATTATAATTTTTTTTTTGGTACATAAAATATATTGTTATAATTTAAAAGTATTAAAATTTATTTTTGTTGTGGATAGAATATAAAAAAAATTATATTGAATGAGTGGATAATGGGTCCCACATATGTACTTAAATGAATGAGTAGGAATGTGGGTGTGTGTTTAAATGAAGAGAGATTTAGTGGAAATATGATGTGGAAATGATGTGGATGAGAGAGAGTGTTACTTTTTGATTGAATGAATGGTTTTTTATTTTTAGGGATGTGGATGCCCTAATATGATTTTCGGATAAATTTCTTAGTATTAAATGATTTAATTGATAGACCTTTTTTTATCCAGACACTTTTTTGTAGGATACCTGAAATGACTGATATCTACTTGGAAGTTTGGTAAATATCATTCAATACCAGAATTCATTATATCTCACATGCAACATATCAGGTGTTCCTCCTGCATGCTTAATTAAAAATACAGATA